AGCCACCACCACCACCTCCACAGCCACCACCACCACCACCTCCACAGCCACCACCGCCACCCCCACAGCCACCACCACCGCAGCCACCGCAACAGCAGCAACAACAACAACAACAGCAACAGCAATTCCTAAAAATAATAATTATTCAGTTAGGAACTTTCAATTTCCAAAATTCACAGAACTGATATATGATGTGATGAATAAATTTTACCTTCTACCAAAAAAAAAGCCTTCTGAACAATACAATATAGTGAGAAATATAAGCAGTCGATTACAATCGAACATCATTTCACGTTCTACGTCAGCCCTATTCTGAAAATAAAAATTTTTATATCAGATAATTTACGACTTTAGTCAGTGAAAACACTTCTCCGACTTTTCCAAGTGATTCATTCGTACACAAAAAAGTCAAACTTATGATGCTATGAAGCAAAATTTATGAATGAGATCAAATACATTTGAAAAATATTGTTGTTATGGTAAAATAAAATTCGTCGATCATTTGCATGGAAGATTTTGGGAGCAAGAAGACAGCACAAACTATCTACATCCTTACAATTACACAAATAAGGACATCTTTCTCAAACCAAACGAACTTTAGGATATTTCTGCCTTATTTGACTTCTTTGTCATTCTTATAATTAAAATTATTATTAAGCTGTCTCTTTCTAACAAAAAATGGTCAAATTATATCATATCATGCGAAATCTTATCAGTTTATCTCACTAAACTTCGTTTGCAGCTTGTGTGAATGGATAACTCTAAGCTGAATAAAAGTTTCATCAAAGAACTAAAACTGAAATAAAATTAGGTAAGAATGAAGCGTACTTGGCAGATATTATATTATAAAAAACAGTTGCTGAAAGTAAAATTAATACAAGTGTCAATTTCTGTACTGTTATTTTTGTGAATTGATTGATTAAATTATTAATTTTTACTATACATAACATAATCATATATCATACATATATTAATGGAAGTGCTAATTTTCTAAGTTTATCTGAATCATTTATGGAAAGCTTTCTATTCTCGCTTATATTTTAGCATTGTAAAAATTTGTAGTGCAGTAAGTCATTTATTTTAGGCTCAGCAGACATCAAAATAAAGAATTCAAAAGATTTGTTCAGTTTCAGTTTTTCTCAAAAATCTTTTTATAGTCATTAACTGAATTATTTAAAATATCGTCAACTTTAGAATTTGCAGCACAAATTGTTATGGATTATTAAAATGAAATAAAGCTTATTAAATATTTTGTGTACACTTTCCATAACTAAATAAAATTTGCATAAATATGAAGAATTTTGATTTTTTTTATTTCTCAGATTTGTTCAAGATTAATATCACTTCTTTTTTTACAATCAATTTAATATTTCAGGCTTATTCTGAATCACACTTTGCACTCTTTCGTTTAAACTTTAATTACTGATTAAAATTATAGAGTGCTGCATTTCTTCACCATTGAAACTTAACTTTCTTTGTTAATTTAAACAATATTTAAAACATTTCTTAGAATTCATCAAATATTCAACCAATCATTAAAAAGTTGCAAATATTAAGAGATGTTTGATTGAAGCCATTACTAAACAATGGGATCAAATTTGCATTCACACCAAAACAAGCTAACATGCTGTTAATCCAATTATTCGCAGGTACCTTTTTTGAATCTATAATCCTTTGATTTCATAGTTTGTAATATTTTTCTCCACTCTACATATTTATCGTTATTTTGCTCATAGCACAAGTAAATTTATCTTGATTACGTTTTCCTCCCAACTATTTTAGACATGTTTTGCATTAGATTTTTCGCTTTATTTTTAATGTACAGTGATATACCATTTTTTTAAATCACTATTTTTTGAACTAAATTACGCTATTTTCAATGAGATTTATTAGTAGTCAAAAAGAAGTGCTGATTGCTACTCGATCGCTAGCCAATACGAACTTCGATTTAATCAAATTATTTTCAGTCTTACAGACACAAATATGAGCATATTCCAGCAAATCATAGTGCTTATAGTGGTGACGCACGGAATACAAGCAATGTTCTTCAACTTTTTCAACAGGTCTAGAATGCTTACATTGATTCTGTAAAATCAGATTTATCACAAAAATGTTTGCAAGTTTTATTTTCAAATGCTGAAGTTTTTGGCTTTTATGCTGCAGCTTTTTTTAATGTTCTTATTCTGTAAAAGGAAATTCTCAATTTGTCTACTTTAGAGGATGCTGCTGTAGACAACGTTGTTGTTGCTCATGTGGAGGATGTGGCGGAGGTGGCGGAGGTGGCGGAGGTGGATGTGGTGGTTGCGGCGGTGGAGGCTGTGGTGGAGGTGGTTGTGGTGGTTTTGGTGGCAGTGGCTTTGGATTAAATGGGCTTGGTGGAGGTTCCTTTGGTTTGGGTGGTCTTGGTGGTGGCGGTGGTTGCGGTGGTTGTGGTGGCAGAGGATGTGGAGGAGGTGGTTGCGGTGGCGGAGGAGGATGTGGTGGAGGTAATAATTTTGCAGGGAGATGTGGTGGTGGCAGTGGTCTTGGTGGTGGTAGTGGCTGGGGAAATAGTGGGGGAAATCGAGGTAGCAGTTGTGGAAGTGGTACTGGTTGTGGAAGTGAAGGTTATGGCCAAGGTAATAGTGGAGGTGAAAGAGGCAGTGGCTGTGGAAGTAGAGGGGGAGATGGAAATGGAGGTGGTGATAATAGTGGTGGTGGTGGTAGTGGTAGTGGTGGTGGTGGTAGTAGTAGTGGTGGTGGTGGTTGCGGAGGCAGAGGTGGAAGCGGTGACGCTCTGAGGAATAGTGGTGGAGGTGGATGCGGAAATAGAAGTGGTTGCGGAGGTGGCGGCATGGGTGGTGGAGGTATCTAACTATCAAACATTATGTCTTTAATAAGCAAACAATCAGCAATAAATTGTTATTTCAACCTCAAATTTTTCTGACAGCAATCAATTTAAAAAGTCGCTTATCATTCTGGATATTATGCTTAGTTATGAATCTTAATTTAAGCTCAAAAAAACAGAAATAAAATTTAAATAAATTTTCAATGTGCTACGATGGGTTTGATACCTGTTACTTAGTAATGAGAAGTCATACTAGTAATTAATTACTAGTAAACGTTGAAATAGAAATCTTTTTTATTCAGCTCGAATTAAGATTACTCAGACTTCCACATTGAACAAATACAAATGAATAAGCATAAGTTTGATTTAGAGTGCGCTTATCTAGTCATAATGAAATCACTGTATTATTAAATATCAGGGAAACTAATATTAAGTTGCCATTATCACATGCATTTTCGTTATCATTTTATCACAGAGTAAAAGTTCACTGCAAATTTTTGAAAATATTTAAAATTTTTACTGAAAAGAATTTCCACAATTAAACTCGAACTCTGTCACAAGCTTTTGCATGTTTATTTACTGTGGCGAGAATTCACACTTTCTGGTTCATTACTGTGTTGTCGGTCCAATGAAATTAGTTCAGCAAAAATGGTCGCATATTATGAATGGGTGATAGATCACTGTACCACTGCATTTTCGAATTATTTTTCATTAATTAATTAGAATTAAGATTTATCTAGTATTTGATCATCTTTTAAGATTTGTTTATTATTCTGAGCTCAAGAATGTGGAAGAGAGCAATATCAACAGGATCGAAGATAAGCTTGTTTGTCATAAAAACTGGTTATAATAAGCAAATATCTTGTTTACAAACAACAAATTCCAATTTTCAATCATAAAAATTACCTTATTTTGTAGAAAAAAATTTGCATAAAAAGTAGTGCGAAAACTTTTTGATTATTTTTAATTAGCTAATATGCTGGAATTAATGTTTGTAAACAAATTTGATAGCATTTTTACTTTATAAATTTATTTCAACGACATTTTTTTGAAATTTTGAGATTTAGTTTTTTACAGGATGTGGTGGTGGTGGTGGTGGTGGTTTCAAAAAGCGCTCAAGTGTTACAGAAGCTGAAGCAGACAGTAATCGCATTGATGAGTATCATGTGAGCGGAATTCCCGATAGTGAAAGCTATAAACATGATGGCGGGAGTGATTCTGGAAATGAAGCAAGTATAAGCATAACTTCTGCGGATAATCACAGTGGTAGCATTGATATCAGTAACTCAGATGAAGCAGATTGTAGCGATGCTTTATGCAAAGCTCATCATCGTCATCACCGTCATCATCGTGACATCCTCAAGAATTTCATGCCATTTGCCTTTGCTCAAACTCCGTTTAATTTTGGTCTGTAATAATGTATTCGTCAACTTTCACTTGAGTCAAAACAAGTAGGAATAGAATCAAAGCTGTTGCATTCAGTAAAAAGTTGTCGTGAATCCAACTATGAATCCAACTTCATATGAATCATCTAAGAGCAGTTTGACTTTGGAGTATAGGCATTGCTAAACGTAAAATCAAATATGATTAAATTCTCTTTTTACTTGCATAGATTTATTGAAGAAATTAAATTTTACTATAATTTTTGACGATTTTTTTTGAATCTTAATGGTTCCTTTATAGAATGTGACTGATGTATTTTTACTTAAGGAAACTTTACTGAAAATATTTTAGGATGCGATTCAAAAAAACTTTATAGTTTTTTAATTGAATTTTTTGTTTCCGATTCAGTGTTTTTGTTCTCTATTTTGTGAACTTAATAATACATATTTATGTTTAAAAATTAAAAATATCTCGAGGATAAAGTTTGCAAAGTCGCGAAATCTTCATATACACTCGCTGTATTTATAAACTGGAGAGTTTTACGAGTTGGTATCTTTTACTTTTACTTCAGCTAGTTCATAGTTTAACTTAACAGATAGCTGCATGGATTATTCTTGCTGAAATACAATAAATTGTTTTGTTTTTAGTCAAAAAACTTTATTCAAAGAGTTAATATAAGCAATAACAAAAAGTTAACAGTAAAAGCTCTAGGTTAAAAAAATTTTCACATCACTACATTCATATGAATAATAATCAGTGTTTATGGAGCAAAAAAGGTAAAAATAATAGCAAAAAAGTTTCAAATTGGTG